TTCACTTCTGAATCGTAAGTTTGGGCGTGAGATCTGGGAAATCCATCTTAATTATTTTTCTAGAACCTAGGACTATTTTTGGCAGGGGGAGTGGAAACAGGTCAAATACCATTGAATCACAAATTCCTTCATTAGCATATAATCTGACCTATACTTCCTAAAACAGTAATGAAAATAACAATAATAAAAAAAATGACATGACCTCTCCTTCCTCGACCTGACCTCCTTTTTTCCATAACTGACCTTCCTCACATTTAAGAAAAATGATAAATGAGCAAAGGTGCACAGGTTCCCCCCCTCCCCAGGAGAGAAAAGCAGAAATCTCACCTGTTCAAAGCACGAGGCGATGTTAGCCGTCACCAAGAGGACCCGAGTACTCGATTTGCCTGCCATGGTAACCTCACGAGAGCCTACAGTGCCAGTGCCAGAGAGCTGAGTGCCAGTGACAAACTACCAGGGCCAAGTCACAAGCGCCGAGAGTGCCACCGCCAGAGAGCTACGAGTGCCAGTGCCAGACTAACAGGGCCAACTCAGTGCCAGCAGCAGGTTTCCCCCCCTGGAGTCGAGGCTGCTCATGTCGTAGGGCTTCCCTTTATTCCATTAAGGAGCCATTCTGATGAGAGCCACCTCGACCCCCTCCTCTGGCTCCTCTGTCGTGTTATCTAAGGCACGCCTCCTTACGCATACATCGTTCGCTCATCGGAGCTTGAAAATACGACAAGAAACCTCCTCCTCGATCTTCCACAGAAAACGGGGGCGGCTGTGGGAGGACACGGGGATACGGGCGCACTCTGTTTATGTGGAATACTCTTCTCTCGTTGAGGAAAGGGATTTGGGATTAGTCATTCTGATGATGGAACTCATACCTTTTATCTATTTTCGGAAGGTGCTGCAGTGTGTAGGAGGATATGATTAAGCAAGTGAATTTTTTATTTCGATCTTTTTAGGCTCGTGTATTTTTTTGCGATGGAGCGATATTGGAGCTGGAATTAGATCATTGTTACTTTGATGGGCGTTTAAATTACGAATTCAAACGAAGGCTAATTGGAATGTATACCTGCAGCCTTATCTAAAGTCCGCGTCCACTTTTTCAAATGAATAAATAAAACTAATATGGCTACAACTGGCATCCCTTCCCTCAACGCGTCCGAATCACTCACTTTTAACACTTAAACCATGGTAGGATTACGAATACGTCGCAAGTTTCCTCTTATTTTGGGGTGTGTCGTCCTCATTTTTCTAACGTTGAAGAGAGGAAAGCAACTAAGAACGTATGAACTGTTCATACCCAACCAAGAACCCAAAGCTGTGTGGGATTTCGTCGCTGATTTCAGTAATATGCCGAAGTTGAATACGAAGATGTAAGTACACGTTGTTCCGATGCGTTCGTTTTTGTTTCGCATGGCTTGAATTTTCATTTAGGGTGTATATACATTATGATATGATTTTTACAATGATTCGCTTCGTTATTTATGTAATGTAAATGCCAAGCTTGTCATAACCTGTGTATAATTAATGTACACAGAAACACAATCGAAGCTGTATCCCAAGCCAAGATCAGAAATTGCCTTAGACCTTGACCTAGACAACATATTTTTTTGGTGTAATTTGAAATTTCAATATGTCATCATCAGAATGTTAATTTCTTTGATGATGTTCATAGCGATGTATTCATAGTTGAGATATTATTTAAGGAAAGTATTTTTTTTTTGTCTTGTATTATTGGGGCGATGATGTCAGTTAATTTATAAACGAAAGGCTTCTCAATTGTTCTCAATTATTATATATATAATCTTTTTTTTTTTTTTGCATTTCCTTTATCATATTACCAGTCGACTTCGCCAGATGGTAGGTATTCGCATTTGCAATACTAGTTTATTTGTACATATTGCGAAATTACACCCACTTTTTTGCGTACAACATTGCTCCACTTTTATAACTCAATATGCACTTACAACAAACTGCGGGGATCAAAGGGATAATATCTATATATAAATGACGTTGTTTATTATGATAAGTTTTCGGTTCACAAAAATATGAATTTTATTTTGGGAAAAATGATAGGATTAAGCTGGGACAGTTTATGGCCTACAGTTGTTTTATATGGGTTTGCTATATCTAATCTAAGTATTCATGTACTTGTCTGTGGATGGATAGATGGATAGTTGGGTGGATAAATGGATGGCTGGATGGATCGGTTGGTGGAAGTAACTATGTATTCACATTTGTATCCATGCATATATCTATCTAGTTACATCCGCGTGCGTGTGTACGCACACGCACGCATTCAGGAGGGAGGGAGGGAGGGAGAGGGAGGGAGAGAGAGAGAGAGAGAGAGAGAGAGAAGAGAGAAAGAGAGAGAGAGAGAGAGAGGAGCAGAGAGAGAGATGAGAGAGAGAGAGAGATGAGAGAGGGGGGGGGGAGAGAGAAATAGAGAGAGGGGTGGGAGAGAGAGAGAGAGGGGGGGGAGAAAGAAGAGAGAGACGGAGAGAGAGGGGCA